GAAAGAAAGAAAGCAGATGTCATTAGTTTTGCTACCCCCCCCCCCAAAAAAAAAGTCTATGCTGGGCTTGGTCATTTTGCTGAACTTCAGCATGAAAAAATTCTGCTCCTCACTCTTCCTCCTCTAGCAGAAGCAGCAGCTTAGAAGTCATTGTTTCACAACTCCCCTTTTAGCCTGTGAAAATACTGTAGTACCCCACATGTTGCTCTGGTCTATCTCCTTTCTTTCCCACTCCCCCAATTTCAAGTGAATAATCCTAGCAGTTCCAGCCATTCTGCAGTCTCCCTGGTCACTTAGAAGGGAAATTACCACCGAAGACTCCCTGCATCTTTCTCCTCCTTTCTTTTGTCTGAGAAGCCAGCACTTCAGTACAATTTTTATTTGCCCTGGGTAAATAGAATATTTCAAGTCCTCATCCAATAAACTTACACTTATAATGTTATGCATCTTGCAAGATAAAATAATATTCTGCATGCCTTTCTTTCTGAAGTAACATAACTTGTCAAAAAAGGCATTTTCCCTCTTACCAGAACTAGGCATGTGGTTCACTCTAGGTGGATTCAGCAGCTCCACTGGCTGGTCTCGGGCAGAAAGTCCATCTGGAAAATGGAAGAAACAGTTCACGTTAATTAGTTAAAGATTTTGGAATGCCTATAATAGCTAATCAATGCAACATGACAAAACAATACGAATTCCACAAGTCACTAAGGATACTATGAAAGCAGCAGCACAACAATTACTATTCAAAACCCCAAAGAAGATATACTTCAGTCTAAATTGTGTTCTAGGTTTGTCTGCGTTCAGTGCCTACATGTATTTTTCAGAACCCAAGGAGATTTGACTTGTCAATCTTACAGAAAGGCTGGAGTAAATAAGCCCCGTCACAGAGAAACTAAACGGCTATTCATTTTCTATTTAATGACAATATGGTGAAGCTGCTAACAAACAGCCCTTGGAAGAAAATTCTGAAAACAGCTGTAATACGCTGGTAAAGAAACCTGCCAAACACTGCAGGAAATTAAAGTGCATAGATATGCATCACAAGTCCTCTTTTGCAATGGTTTGACTCTCAGAGGAGATATTTACAAAAACATTTGTTTTGTAAATTAAACACTGAAAACCATTTAGACAGAGCATTTCTCCATAGAAAGGTTTCAACAATACCTTGTATATAAAATATTAAAGAAAAAAGGTATTATATGCAACTACTCTAGTTTGCCAGATCAGACTTCTTGATTTTGCCAAAATAACATGAAATAAAAAACACCAAAATGATGGCATGATATAAACTGCATCAAATAGAATATTCTAGTTCGTGTAATCCAAAACTACTGTCTGAATGCAAAAAAGATGTGCAACTCAAATGGGCCTCTTCACTCTTTCAAAGCCAAGACTTTTTCCCCGACTATGCCACTGTCCCACAGCTACTTCCTCTTTATTTAGCTTGTTGTTCTCCAGGGTTCTGCTGAATTTTATGTTATATACATAAAATGTGATGAAGCTGTATACTGTTCTAGAAATACTGAAACAGGCTCTCTCAGGTCCAAAGCAAGAGAGACCGCAACAAATTTTATTCTTTATTTACATGTTAATATTCTTCATAAATAAATAACACACTATAATCTGTGCTACATGGCTTCTCTATTCTGAATAGTCTGTGGGGGAAAAATAATTAAGATTTCTTCATTGTGTGCATTCCTGGTCTTTTGGTACCAATCAGGGCATAGGTAGTCGCAGGCCAGCATCAGTAAATTGACTGACTTGCTATGACCATTTTCTTTCAAAATATAGTAAGTACTGCCCCTGTGGTCTATAGCTTTGAAGTGTTTTCCTTTTTATACAATAGCCAGTAAAGTGATTGAGGTCCGACTATGAAGGTATATGCACTTTTATGGGTGCAGGTTACCTGGACAAAGCAGAACTAATGACACTAAGTCTGAGGACGAAATGACTAAAATTATATCAGTACTATTAACTGAGAATGTACATTTGTTATTTATGAAACAAGTTCAAAACTTTGTGGGAGCATTAGACCACAGGCTGCAAAAGAATAGCCAAGAGCCTGTTCTCCCATCTGCACGCTCGGTAAAGAGTTCAACTCCTGGATGCTGAATTAATCCAGCCTACACACACATTTGTCACCTCGGTGCTCAGTGTTAGCCTAATATAAACACAATATTTGGGGCAATACTGCTGTTTAGAAGCAAAAGTCAGGAACTCACTTATTAAGCAGCTTTATATTAGCAGCAGATGTGCTCAATAAATTCTCTTAGATTCCCATCTGGAATACAGAATTTGATTTTGACCTTCAAAGTCATAAATTATTTAGTCCTGGATTAATGAAGCAAAGTCCCCCTTCTTGTGCTATAACCACAGCTCTGATCATAGTTGTTGAAATTGAAGCCACCTCAATACAGAGAAGAGTGGCTGGCACAGATTTCTGTGACAGCCTCCTGGATGTAGAAGAACCCATCCCCACCCCCTTAGAGCACCAAGGTTTCAATTTCTAAGCCATCTGGCGTGCTCTTTTGTTTTGTTTTTTTGGAAGAATGTTTTGAGAGTGGATGAAGTGACACTTAGCCAGGGTTATTTACCAGCATGAGGTGACTACAGTCATAATCTGATCTGATCTCATGCTGTACAGACATGGGCTATTGATTTCAATGGATCAGTATTTTTTATTATGAATTTAAATCTTTAAGAGAGCTTCAAGAATTTAGATGCATGTTTCTAGTACTTGCATTTTTTAAAAATACAGTTCAAACAAGCCAACAAAACACCCAAATGACTGGAGTTAAACACACACCCAAATCATTTTTTTAAAAGTAAAAAACTGTAAAGTAATGAAGAAAAATTGAAGTTAAAATCTTTTCCCTATGACACTAAACTCCTTAAATATAGATCCCAAGGACAGAACCAAACACGTCAAGCCACAGATCCTTTAATACTTGATATATTCAAATCATAAAATCTCTACACTGAAAGGAGGAAGTAAGATACCATAAGGAGAAGATGGCAGTTTCTAGTATATTTTTAGGAGGTCTGGGTGTCCAGTCTCCAAGAAGCAATGTTTTGTTTGGAGGGGAGACGTTAGGATAAGCTTCCAGGAAGAAAGCACTCTTCTTCAGGTCATGCCTATTCTATAATCAACAGACAACTGTAAATTTCTTCTGTCTAGGGAAATTAGTTTTAGAATCATAGGGTAACTATACACGAGCAGAGAGGCTGCTGTGCTTCGGCAGACTTAATTAATCAAGCGTGCTGGAGTGCGGCAACTGCTGCGCTCTGGCAGCCTCCTGCATCTTGTGCATCAGAACTTCCCTGCTTAAAAATAGTGGTGGGGGTGCTTGAACTAAATCTCATCAAACAAGCTTTAGTTCAAGTGCCCCCACTGCTATTTTTAAACAGGGGGATATTGATACATGAGACATAGCAGCGCTTTAAATTAATAAGAGCAGCTCTCAGAGCCGCTCTCATTAAACCACTGCCTTCCCCATCCCCGGAGCACGTGTAAACGTGCCCATAGAGAAGTAGGGCTGAAAGGGACCTCCAGAGGTCATCTAGTCCAAGCCCATGCCTGAGGCAGGATCATCCCTATCTAAACCATCCTATACAATTCATAATCTAAACTGCATAAGAATACCATCAACCCTGACACAGCACAGACCTAACACCCTAACCTGCTACAGATAAAGCAGGGGACCTAAGGCAATCAATGTCCTGCTTCTATGAAAAGTTGTCAGTATATGTTCGTAAGATCCCAGGTACAGGGCCATAACCACTACCACAGAAGAAGGCAAAAACCCCCACAGTCTGTACCAATCTGACCAT